GAGGTGGAGGCAGGAGACTCACTTGAGCCCAGGAGTTGGAGGTTGCTGTGAGCTGTGATGCCACAGCACTCTACCCAGGGCGACAGCTTGAGGCTATGTCTCAAAAAAAAGAAAAGAAAAGAAAAGAAAACTGTCCCTGGGAAAAGGCACAGAAGGAATAAACATCAAAGCTGTTCATGGGTCCAAACACTCAATATAGACAAGTTCTGTGACCCAGAACTGCATTAAATGTTTCCAGGGGGCCATTTCTATGTCTCCAGCACCAAACTTGAACCTCATGAAAGCAAAGATCCCAGATGGGTTTAGTCACTTGTGGTATGGGATATGGCACTCAGGGGGCCCTCGGTGAATACTGGTTTAGCAAATTAGCTACAGAGCCGACAAGTGCCTCTCCGGCTATGAGCTCATGTAGGGAGGACAAGAGTTAGGGGCATGGAAGGACACCAGGCCGGAACCAGCTTGCCTGGGCTCCATCCCAGCTCTGCTGCTTGTTGGCCAAGAAGCTCAGGGCAAGTCACACTGCCTCTGGGGTTCTCACTTTCTCCTCTGTGAAGTGGGAATGATGACAGTATCTTCATCAAGGAGTGGTTGTGAAGATAAAGAAGGTGAAGTTTGTGGAGTCCCTAGGAGTGTGTCTCTATGTCAGAAGCACCATCAATATTATGATCTGTTATTATTAAGATGTGGACATGAGGCCAGGTGAAGTGGCTCACGCCTATAATCCTAGCATTCTAGGAGTCCAAGGCAGGTGGATCGATTGAGCTCAGGAGTTTGAGACCAGCCTGACCAATAGCGAAACCCCATCTTTAAAAATAGCTGAGTGTTCTAGTGGGCACCTGTCATCCCGGTCACTCAGGAGCTGAGACAAGAGGATCGCTTGAGCCCAATAGTTTGAGGTTACTGTGAACTATGATGCCATGGCACTCTACTAAGGGTGACAAAGTGAGACTCTTGTCTCAAAAAAAAGGAATGTGAGGGTCCCTACTTTACAGAGTGGAACCTGGTCAAGCCCTTAACCACTGTGATGCCCTTTCTTGTGAGGAAGGGAATACAGGATTAATCTGGCAGTCTACTCTGTCTTTGCCCCACCCACCCCCACCCAAGCCTGTCTGGCCATCTGTCAGGCCCATGGTCCTCAGGGGCTGATGTGGCAGGACATGGTTTTTCTGTTTTTTGTTTTTTAATTTTCTTTCATGTCACAATGTTATTTGCCAAGTGACAGGACTTTCTTTTTTTTTTTTAATTTTTTAAGACAGAGTCTCGCTCTGCTGCCCAGGTCAGAGTGCTGTGACATCATCATAGCTCCCAGCAACTTCAAACTCCTGGGTTCAAGTGATCCCTCCCAAGTAGCTGGCACCAAGATGTCAGCTAATTTTTATTTAAGGGTCTTACTCTTGCTCAGGCTGGTCTTAAACTCCTGGGCGCAAGGGATCCTCTCACCTCCGCCTCCCAGAGCCTAAGATTACAAGCGTGAGACATCACACCTGGCCTATAACAGGGCTTTTTAAACTGGCCTAGGTGGGAAGGGTGGGAGGCCCAGGATGTCCCAACTGTCCAGAGGAGCCTTGTGCCTCAAAAGGCTTATAGAGGGCCCAAGAAAACTGTGTGTGTAGAGGAGGTCACCAGTTTCTCCTTCCTGTTTTCATCTCAGAGCCCTGGACCTTATCCTGGAAACCTCTGTCCCCTGACTTCCAGCCTATCAGCTCCCTAAACATGTCAACCAGGCTTCTCTCGCAAATGTCCCCACTTCCTCTCTTCAAGCCTCCCTGCCTCCCTGAGTTCTATCCTCAGTCCACTTGTTACTCAGAGGGACTTTTCTAAATCTGAAAACCTAGTCCTGTCTCTGCTCAAATCCTTTTTAGGGCTCCCCAGGGCATGTGGATAAAGTACAACTGGCCTCTAAGACCCAGAGTGATTTGGTTCTAGCTCCAATACTGGCTTCTGCCCTGCCCCTCACCAGTCCTCCCAGTTAGGACAGGAGTTTCCTTTTGGGGCTCTAGGGCCTTACCACTTAACTACTCAAAGTGCGGTTACCATACCAATGGCACTGGCACCATCTAACACCTAACTCCATCAGAGTCTGTACTTTCATGGGGTCATAGAGGTCACTTGCATGCTACAGTTTGCGAAGCATCACTTTAATAGTGATATCCTTTGACTCTCGGCCTTTAGACATATTGTTTATCTGGAATACCCTCCTAGACTTTTCCTGATTGGTCCTTCTTATTTCTCAGGTCTCAACCTTGACATCTGCTCCCCCAGGAAGCCCTCCTAGACTCCCCAGGCTGGATCAGGCACTTCCCCTGGCCTCTCACCATCCTTGTGCTTCCCCCATCCCAGCTCTGTCCACTCTGGGCTCACTGTCTATCTTCCCACTGGACTGTGAACTCTGTAAACACAGCACCTGGGTTGCACCATGGATCCCCAGTATTGCCAGAATAGAGCTGAGCACAGAGAAAGTGTCAGAGAATGTATAAATTGATAGCCAAATGACTAGAAGACCCAGGTCAGATGTCCAATCTCAACAAATTAAGGAGATGGATTCTTGGTAGACTGTGAGAAAAATTAACCTGTGGGAGACATAGGCAAAGTAGGTGATGAAGTATTTCCTGTGGACAGAGCACCCCTAGGGAGCACCCTGCCAGGGAGCTATGTGAGTATAGGCTGGATACACCAAGGCCCTAGAGAGGGTGGGCCTGGGGAGGTGCTCAGATAGCCATTGTGGGACTTTCTCTTAGAAGGGTGCTAGGCAGAGGTTGGGAGCATGGGCTCTGGACCCAGATATGAGTTTGAATTGCAGGTCTGCTATGACTTAGCCTTTTCTAAGAGCCCAGTTACTTCATCTGTAAAATGGAACTAAAAATGTCAACTCATAGATTTGACAATGGTTGGAATCAGGTTATTTGGCATAAAGCACTTAAAACAGTGCTTGAGGGCTCGGCGCCTATAGCTCGGCCGGCTGGGGCGCCAGCCACGTGCACCTAGGGTGGCGGGTTCGAGTCCCCAGCCCGGACCCGCCAAACAACGATG